AGCATAGTGAAGCAGTGATGACTTGTTCATCAAATATCATGATAGCTGTCCTAACCACCAGTCTTTAAAATTTAAAGGTACTGTTGGGAATTATTTTATTGAGCCTTGATCCTGAATAGTGAAACAAAATAAAATATTAATATTATGTTTATAATTTACAGTTAGGCATACACCATTTAGACTAATTTTATACCCGTACTAAACTACAGTAATATTATAGAGTCAGAAGAGATGCTAAGATGATATGCATAGGAAACGGCATAGTCAGGATTTTCCTCAGTGGAATGTATCATTGCCCCCCCCCCACCTTTTTGGGGGTAACCAAAGCACCCCCCCCCCCACAAAAACAATCCTTGCCTACACCACTATGCTTATGAATAATAGTATAATACCGTAAAGTATACCCAGAGCATGGGAGTGCATAAAATAAGATCTAACTATATATACTATATAATGAAACGGCATAGTCAGGATTTTCCCCAGTGGAATGTATCATTGCCCCCCCCCCCCCTTTTTGGGGGTAACCAAACCCCCCCCCCCCCCACAAAAACAATCCTTGCCTACACCACTATGCTTATGAATAATAGTATAATACCGTAAAGTATACCCAGAGCATGGGAGTGCATAAAATAAGATCTAACTATATATACTATATAATATAATATATATTATATACAGTTAAGTTAGGCTCAATGAATCGATGTAGTATCAAGTCCAATCAACTAGTACTAGTTTTTGTAACTTGTAAAGGAATTTCTGATGTCAGCCGTTAACTAGCTAATCTACACAAAAAATAACTTGATCTTACTAGCTTTTTTAAAATTAGAAGGCCTACTCCGTAATTAAATGTAAAGTGAACTTAAAGTCTTTTTAAAATTTTTAAGTTAAAGGCTGCCTTGCGTTCATAAAAAAATACATGTCGCCCACATACAGTAAATCAGTTAAAGTTAAAAATCAACTTATGAAGTTGAAGACTACGACATAACAAAGTACGCTAAGCTTAGTCATTGCAGACCTTTCTATTTATAATGGTTGTTGTTCGTCCGTCGAGGATCGACGATGACCATCGAGTCGTCTGGTGACCGATGACTTGCGCGGGTGACTTTTGTTTAAAGTGAGGAAGAGTTGCGCAGCGTCAACCTCACTCTCTCGTCCGAGCCCACCATATCCAGTGGCAAGACTCTACGCCAAGACGACCAGGGATGGGTACGGTTGCAGGAATGGACATTGTATGCGCCTTACGGGACTCCAACTCCGGGTTTGAATTCAGAGTTTCCTTCTCTTAGATGAGTTGCCGACCAAGGTTAACGAGTCTCATCCACCCGGGGTGATGTTTTTGCTTGACCGGCCTTTGGCTGAAATTGAGGTTTGCTCAGTTTAGACCATTCGGCCACCCAGTCACCCATGCAGTGAATGACCATGGCGTTCTACGTGTCTGGTCATGTTCTCAGCGATTCACACCACTGTGCTGTCTTTCTCTTAGATGAGTTGCCGACCAAGGTTAACGAGTCTCATCCACCCGGGGTGATGTTTTTGCTTGACCGGCCTTTGGCTGAAATTGAGGTTTGCTCAGTTTAGACCATTCGGCCACCCAGTCACCCATGCAGTGAATGACCATGGCGTTCTACGTGTCTGGTCATGTTCTCAGCGATTCACACCACTGTGCTGTCTCCGCCTTTTGTCCGTTGACCAAGTAGTGGTTCTTCCGCACAATTTGCCGGATTCAGTCTTTACATGCTATGGGGGACAACCCCTTTTTTTCCGAAAGTTCTATGCCCTTCGGCTACCCTCAACCTGGAATCGTTGTCTGGGTTGTAGTCGCTGTGCATGTTACAGCTTCTTGGAACCACAGGTGAGAGCTGAGTACAGAGACTTCCGGCTGTTTCCGAACAAGATGGCTTCTTCCTATTCAGCTCAACAGTAGATCTATATTGTAGTTGTAATTTAAAGGAGAAATACGTTGATAACAGCATAAATTCTGATCCTGAATGAAACCGCAAAACAATAAAAATTAATGAAAAGTTCGAATTTTCTTGCGTCGAAGACAATTTCCAATAATCATCTTTAACTATCACCCTTGCTTTACTGAAGCGCCTACACACTGAGATTCCTTCCTATTGTGTATTACTATACCGCCATCTTGTTGTAGCCGGAAGTTATCCTTTGTTTAGTGACAATGGAGATTTTGTTAATGGTTACCTCACAATTTAAAACTGGATTCAAATAATTATTCACTATATTTTACACTTTACTAAACTTTACTTACCCAAACAATTGAATATCTCTTGATCGGCGATGTGAACAGAAAATAAATATGTCTGGTCTATCGAAGTTGTACGGGAATAGAAACTTAAATAGTTCGAATACGCATGCGCAGTCAGAGGAAGCCACTAGCAAGGTCCGTTTGATAACAGAAAGGCTAAAAAAATAGATGAGGTCGGCGATTAATGTAAATTTTCATGGCATCCAATTAAAAAATTCCAGACTTTCTGGAAAATTTCCTTACTAGAAGGTCGGCCAATTTCCCCGGTTTTCACGACCGGGAAAATTATTTGATAAATTCCCAACTTTTTCACGTTTTCCCGACTGACGACTGTGTGGGGACCCTAAATCACACTCATGTGCAAGAAATCATATTGAATGATATTGGCAACATTATAATTATATCTATAACACCATGACTATGAGGTTTCATAAGGTTGCTGGATTGAATAATTACGGCAATTGGTTCATCCAGGCAAATTTGACTGATTTGCTCAGGAGCAGAAACCCACCAGATATTTTTTAAAATTATTTTCAAGTCCACCATTACCAGCATGAGTTCCAGGAGTTTGGAAAAAGGTCAGGCAACTTTTTTAGGAACTTGAAACTTTCAGTCTGGAATACACCAGGGTTGACTAACTATGGGCATGGGGCTGAATCTTTATCCAATCCATCTCAAACTAGGCAATCATTTGATTAATCGTAGGCTAGCTATGGCTATTCAAATATTTTGTCAATTTTGACGGAACGTGGTTTGTTTTCGACTAAATTTTCACCGCCTTTTGCGAAGTATTTTTTTTATTTAATGTCAGAACTTGCAAAAATATTCACATTAAATTAAAATGCATTTATGAAATCAAGTAAAAAGAAGGTAACTAAATTTCAAGCTTTTAAAGCATTTTCCTCGTTTAATCATAATAATGTGTTTACCTTCGGTGGCCATTCTTGTTTTCTGTCACACGTGTTTTCGAACTAACCTGGCCAATTATGTTGAATTTCTGGTCAAATTTATTTAATCTCTTTGGATTTTTATTTTAAATCCCACAGCTTGAAAGTAAAATATTCAATGCTCAATAAAAACGTATAATATAATGGCTCCAAACGACTCGCAATTTTCTTCAATTTAAAATTAATATATTATATATTTGATTTAATGGGAACAATAGTTACTGGTGAGCTAAATACATAATCATTTAAGTTAAATCCAGGGCGGGCTATCATCTACTCAAATCCAAGACAGTCAAGTTGGTGCACGGGCTATTTTGATCGCGAGTAAACAAACAAATTTTGGTAATGCGCTTGTCATTACTGCATCTAATTAAAATAATGCATCAAAGAAAGCAATTTTATGGCGGGGGTCGCCACAAAATGAGGAACTGAAATTGAACACCCTTTTGTTCCATACACGTTTCTACAAGGATTGATGGATCTTGACCAAACTTGACACATACATCCATAATTATCCGGAATAAAAAAACTAAAGGGTTTTGAAATGTAACATAGTAGACCCACGTGATTATATAAGGGTCAAATGAAATAATCCATTTAAACAATGTTATCAAGTAAAAGACCCATTAGATAGATACTGTTGTAACAATCGCTGTGTCTTATCTAGCTGGTTCTTTTGTGAAAAGAAATGGCAACATTATGACGATAATTCCTACACAACATTGCGTGATATTTTTACAGCATTGGAGATATAAATATCCTTTTGGGTTTGTCAGATGGAGCTGAGAATATTCACTGCGCTGGCCTTTGCGGAGAAATGAGATAAGATAAATGAAATAAGACAAGCAGGTCGTCACCAAAAGTACAGACAAGCCGGACGATGAGAGGCAAGTGCGGACAAATACGGACAAAAAATTGGTATGGAAAAGGGGTCGAAAATACAAACTGTCCATACTATATACGGACTTCTGGTAACCCTACTCTATTACATCCGTTGATGGCTCTTGGCCAAAGTTGCTTTACATATCCTTCATCACTTCAACATCCATGAACGTGAGCCCACGGTGGAACAGGATCCTACTGGGAACAATATTTCATCAGGGAACGGGATCTCATTGGAAAACCGGATCCTGTAAACTGTAAGGAATGCGATCCCTCTGTAAACATGATACCATCTGGGATGGGATCCTATCAGGAATCAGAATCCCACCGGGGAACGAAATGTTTACAAAAGTTATTATAAATGTGTTTGAAAAAGGAGACCAATTAATTATTTATTTTTTTTACTTTGCCCCTAATTTCGATGTTGACTAAAAGGATGTAGAAGGTTTTTTTCGAACGTAATCCCTGAAAACGCCGGCTACATTGGCGACGCTAGTATATATATAATATATATAAAGTGGTGGGCACAAGTCCCTCATTAAAACAAAGATCAGATAACATTAAACATTCGAGAGTCTTGTTTATTATTCGAAAAATAAATCATACTCTTTCTCTTATCAGCTTTGAACTTGACAAATAATTGGATTTGTTACAATGGACATAAATAATGTTTTACAAAAATTACCTTTATGGTAATATTACGAATTATGTAAAGAGAGTTTTAACATTTTACAAGCACCTTACAAATAGCTACTTTAAAAAAAGTGTCCTGCTTTAGCGTTACACATATTTTGCTTATTATTTGTGCAGTGTTTTGCTGTTAACAAAACTTGATGTAAAAGTTATTTGTATTGATTACAATCACAAGAGTGAAAAATAAATATCATGACATAGATGAAGGGAAAGATATTTTATTTCAGTAAGAAATTGTATCTAAAATAATAATATACCTAGAAGATAAGGAAAATCTGGACAAGACTTTTGATCGGCCATTTTGGGGAAAATAACGACGTTGACAGAGAAATTCCCACAATGTGAATGTCAACAGAATTCTTAAGCTAATACGGAACTTACGCCAACGAAGTTTTAACTAAATATTATTACTGAGCTCCAATATATAAATAAGGAATGGGGCGATCTCGAAGTCGTAGCAGATCATCAAGTCGACAAAGGCATCGATCGAAGAGGAAAAAGAACCGCTCGAAATCTCGGTCAGCTTCCAAAGACAGAGCGTCAAAATCACGACAAAGTCGAAGTAGTCGGATGCGGTCTAGATCCCGCGATCGCAAACGGCCAGCAAGGTAGATTTCAAGTATAAATTCAGTTAATACGTGAAACGATTGTTTGCTTGTACCTGTATGCTTTAACTACTAACCTTAGTTCCATATAAATAATCTTGCTTTGATTGTACTTTTAGTGTTAAAATTAAATGAATGTATCAACCTCCACATTATTTTGTACATGAACTCAGTTATTTTAGTTGGATAGGGCGGATAGGCCTACTACTACACACAGACTACAGTGGGTATACCCTACTGTCACTGTGCACTACTTGCCAAAACGTTCTGCTTGTGACTGTTGCGCCACTGTCACTGTGCACTACTTGCCAAAACGTTCTGCTTGTGACTGTTGCGCCACTGAAAGGCCCCGAAGTAACTGGCAAATAGGCAGCGACTAACTAGTACCACTCAGATAGCGGAGTTTATGTTTCGCTTGCATTCAAATACTTCAATAGTTTCTGTGTGAATGTCCTGGTCGGTAAATGTTGAGAGAGATACCCGGGGTTGCCCAAGCCCAAGCATGGCCGCCATCTTTGTTGACAAGATCCGTGAGAAGGTCACGGAACATGGCGGCCGACCCAAAAAAAAAAAAAGTAGTGCAAAGACACATATTGTACAAAAAGGGAACGGTTGGGGAGAATGCGTTTTATCAAAAACTTACCGAAAGAACGAAAATAAGCAATATTACAAGAAAATTTAATTTTCAAGATAGGAAAACACACAAATATGTAGTAATCTGTGAAAAATATTTTCAAGAAAATGTAAAATTTAAAGAAATGGAAGAAAATTTTAATTGGTTGATTATTTATAATTTTAAATTATCATTGGTTGGCTACCATCTTTTCAACATGTTGGCCTAGTGCCGGCAGTTGTGCTCCCATTATTTGTGCATATTTTTTTGGGAAGCGTTATACGCAGTCGGCTGCGTATAACCCTGAGAGTTATAGTCGACTGCGCATAACCCTGTGGGTTATTCACAGCCGACTGCGTATAACTCTCAGGGTTATACGCAGTCGGCTGGGAATTTAGCCAAATAAGGTTTATTACCGCTAGTTTGGCAATTTAAAAAAAAGTATTATGTGTAATTAGCCGCATGATGGGTTGTTTTGAACTGTAACTTTTTATGTGTTTAACGTAAAATTGTAATTGAATTTATTTTAATTAATAATGAAATTGAATGATAGCAATAGTATTAGTATTAGTGCTATTATTAGTATTATTGCTTGTATCTTATATATTATAATTATAAGTCAAAGTCTACATTTCTTAGAGTCTAAGCCTAAGTCTAAGATTTTTTAAAAGGCAGATCCATGGTCTAAGTCTAGTTATGTATTCTGATTGATTAGGTTTTTATACGTTGCTATGACTATTTGGTTGGTTTTACTGACTAATTCAGGAAATACATTCTATTTATTTTTTAAAAAATTATATCATTTATGATTATTTTTTTTTATGACCAAAATATAACAGTTTTCAGCTTCCATGCAAAACTATAACTGTGTGAAAGTATTACTTATAGTGCCCCCTCTACAGAACCCCCTGCCCTTACGGCGATTTTCTTACTGCTGCTCTCCACCCATGATTATATTTATTACTGTACCAGAGAAACATGATTTTATCTGCCACAAAATTAGTTAACAACACAAAATATATGTTAACAACTCAAACATATATTATGATAATTATAAGTATAACATTATTAACATTACTTTGGTCAAGTTAATTCGTATTTAAAATTTTTTTAGCCAAAACAAAAGTAAGTACCATTCGACCACCCAGTCACCCCAATAAAGAAGTACCCTGATTGATTGATACTGTAACACAGGAAGAATATAGACGTCACGTGACTTGCCGACTGCGTATAACTCTCAGGGTTATACGCAGTCGGCTGCGCATAACCACTTCATATTTTTTTTTATTTGGAACCTGTAATAAAGTGTGTAAAAGTGTATTTCATCAAACTGTAAGTTGGGTTTTCATTATATCTTGGTTTTATAATTATTTTTGGCTTCTTTTTTGCCATTTATGTGTTTTTTACGGCTGCTAACCGTTGCTGCTTACTTGTGGCCTTAGGCTTTGGGTTAGGTTCAGAAATACATGGTAATGAACGATTTTAAAAAGCAACAAAAAACAATGAAATTTTCAAATGATAATTCGTTATTTTACTCACTCTTTACGAATCAAGATTGAACTTACCGCCGGACACCGGAGCACAATAAGACGACAGTGACGTAATATTTAATCACACCTTTCTAGATCCGCATGATTTTCAAGTACCATATACGAAAATTAATTTCTCTATTTTTCATCAATATTTCTAACATTCTGACAATTCCACACTCTCTGCATGAATTTCAAAAACATAAAACAAAAACATAAAATTTCAGTTTTAAAACCATAAAATTTAACTTTTCTTTGAATCTTCGTTAATTATTGACACGAAATCTTGTTCCAACCGGTTATTAAAATATTCCTTCGCCGACACTTCATCCAACAAAATTAACAACAATATCAACAAAGGGGAATGACTCCTGCCTTTCCTTGCACAAATTTTTAATAAATATGCAAATGACGTCATGGATATTAGTCTCAACAATAGCCTCCTGGTCTACTGAATCAACATTTCCACGCGCGTGCTCAGTGATAGAGGGAGCATAAATGCCGTTGTTGAGCTGAGCGGCATTTCTATATCCTCGCCAAGTGTCCATGGCAATTATTGTCCTTGTTAACACATGATTAGTGATAATGCGCTCAAGTGTTTGTGCATCTTGACAGCCAACAACCTCTATCCAACATCATCACTACCACGCGCAACCAAGCCGACAACCCACTTACTAACATGTGGCTGTCAACTGTGATATTTTCTATGGAAAAAGTAACTCATCCTTCTCAATGAAAACAGACTAGCCGTTTGCATCGAAGCCAGCAGTTGATTGGTTGTCAGCATCAATTGACAGCATTCCTGATGAAGATAGTTGTTATAGTTGACGATAGTGTCCCAGCTAACCAGACTAAAAAAAACATAACGTGTTTACACCTGACTTGGTGAACCTATTAATACATGATCTTAACTATTTTTTTAGTTGTTAGATCACAGTTGGCAAAGACTGGCCCGGTTCTAACACTACTGCCAGTGTTGCATGGGCGACAACGTCACGAAAAACCATCGTTACATTCTGCACGAGCGACTAACGCCATTGGGCGCCTGCATGTTCCACAATTAACATTGTTTCTGATCAAGCGATGTTGGGCCAGCCACTCCTACAGCCATTCACGCTTGTTTGATCTTACAGCATACAACTCATATGGAGTTAATTCAATTTTGCCCAGTTGTGCTGCTGGCAAAATAACCAAGCTAATGCTTATCGGTGCGGCTGGTCCACCGGCCATAATTTAACAAATTTATTGGAATATATGCAAATATGAATTTCAAAACAAAATGATGCCTAAGACTTTTATTTTAAGTAAGGAGCAATCATTGGAAATAATTTGGAACTGGGCTTAGGAGGATTGCCAAAAATTCTTGAGTCTAATGGTACCCGAGTGCAAATGGTGGCGCTGCTTGTCTGGGTCCATTTTGACTCAGTACTATTCGGATGTAATTTGTGGTAGTTTATTTTAGTTAAACTGAAGAATTAAGTTTACAAACATATAGGCCATTCAATTTCAATGATCTTTCATTTGATACCTCATTTTGTCTTACAAACCCAACAATAAAATGTTTAATTAGTTTTTTTAACCCCAACCTCTCACTTCTGGTACCCGGGTACGAATAGCCACTTCGATATCAAAATACAGGTAGATTGAAAAATCCAAACAAATCAATGAAAATGTAGGCCAAGATATCTACTCGAAACAGAACCCAAATATATGTCAAAAGTACTCATTTATAAATTAATAGACACACATCGTAAAATTAAAAACTCAGATTTTTAGTCACAGATTCCCATTTCTGATACATAAAAATTAGTAGGCTCCCTTAATTTACAGAAGTACCTAATGCAGGCACTTCCGTTAAACAAGGGAGATTACTTCAAAATTTGTATAGGAATCGAAGACGAAGAATTAGAGTTTTTAATTTTTGGATGTCTGGTTTTTCAATGATGAAAGGACTATTTAGTCATAAAATTCTGGTATTCATCCACACATTACAATATTGGATGTCTTGACCTAAATTACGTACATGGTATTTCCATCGTAAATATTGCCTTTTCAATTGACCACAATATTAAAAATTCCTAGATATATATGTCATCTTTTCTCATAGTTATATATATCATCTTATTTTTAAAGAAGTTCAAAATATGTCTTTCATATTAAATCTTTCTCTGCATTATAATTTCATGTATACACGTGCCCATTCTTATCAGCCAGGACATATCAACCATTAGTTATGCTCGTCTAAGTCTAAGTAACCATAAAATTGGTCAAAATTGGGCTGAGCGAACTTATGATAATGCAGGTTATTGGGGTGAGCATAACAAACTTAAGAAATTACCTTCGACAATGAGAATAGGCACATATACTTGTACATAAATATATAATGCTTTTCATAAAAGACACGCTGTTTAAATTTCTTCAAGAATTTTTTAAGGAAAGATGCCTAATATATACCTATGCATTTCCAAAATTAAGGTAGACAAAAAAAGGCAAAACTGTGAGTTGAAATGTTGGTCAAGATGTTCCATATTGTGAAGATGTGGAAGAATATCACAATTTTATGACAAAATGGTCCTTTTATTAATGAAAAAGCATTTATAAGTATTTAGGACATTTATAGCTTACCGATGGTCAAAGTGACACAGAAAAAATACAGAGGTTCACCTTGTTGGGTAAATTGTATGAGCATCTGTGTAAAGATAAATATTTAAGGTAATCGATACTAAATTAATTTAATAAAAGACTGTGTTAAGAACACTGATTGTTTGGTGCAGTGGTGGAATAAAACAAGCTGTGACGTAGGACATAAAAATCTGAGTACACCATAGAGTCATAGTAACTGTTGAGTACTGTTGGTATTTTTTTAACCAGGTATTAAACCATGCCAGTTTTTTCCCTTCAATTTTTCAATTTTATTTTTTGTTTGTTTAGTATTTCTTGTTATATCTTGTTAATAAGGCGGCTTTAATTTCAGGAAAAGAAAACAACTTTTTTTGTGTTTTTGTTTTATCTTCACTGGTTATTAAAAACACCTAGGCAAATTTAAGAGTAACATGTCATATTTCATTTATTTTAATTAAATTTGTTTTTCTTTAACAGAAAAAGATCATTTTCATCTAGCAGTTCTGACAGTGATGATGACCTCATACTTAGAGCAAAAAAGAGAGAAGAGGAGGAGAAAAAGGCCGAAATTGAGCGTCAACGTCTTCTGTAAGCATTAATAAATTTATTTTCATATAAGAAGTTAGAAAAAGAATATTAATAATATTATAATTGCATCCCTTTTGGTTGGTGCATTTACTTTCATTTTGATGTTAGGAAATATTTTTTAAAAGTTGAATACAATTATATTGTTTTTTACTCAGATGAGTAATTATTTTACCCACAAAACTTCTTAAAATATTTTTTAAAACTTGGGTAAATCATAATTGACATCCATTTTAGTTCCTTGCTTTCTTTCACTTAAATCTGGAACCACGCAATTTCAGTGTGGAATAGCAGTATGGCTTTACAGTAGTAGAACATTCACAGTTAGATCAATCTTACTATAAAGAACATGTAATAAGAATTTTCATTTATGTAAGTATACATGACATAACATTTTTGTTCAGTAACTAGCTTTTAATGTATTTAAAAAAAAACAAAATCATAACTAAAGGGATTTTATATATTGTATTCTAAATGTTAAATATAAATATATGACATATGAAATTTAAAGTTAAACCTTCCAATGCACCATACACCCCTAAATCTGTCTGTCAACACCTACTCAATGTCTATCCATGCCATTCCCATGGTCTCGGGCTCCTGAGGTCCTTCCCATGTTAAAGGCTTCCCATGCGATTTCACCCTTTGTGGATTCCACATCATTCTCTGTAAGGCAATATTTTGTGTAACATATATAAAATTTACTTGGAATTTTATCTTTTATTGCAGTCGCCAGAAAGAGCTTGAGGAAAAGTTGATTGAAGAAGAAGTTGCTCGTAGAGTTGAAGCACTTGTCAAACAACGGGTTGAGGAGGAACTTGAAAAACGCAAAGATGAAATTGAAGCTGAGGTTTTGCGGAGAGTAGAAGAGGCAAAAAAGATAATGGAGAAACAGATGCTTGAGGAGTTAGAAAAACAGAGGGAATCTGAAATGGAGGCCCAGCGGTTAAAGGAGGTAGGATTGTCGCTGTCCTTATCTGTAGGATTAGATCTATTGGCAGGCTTGAGGTTGGGGATGATGTTGGAATGGAATAACTATATTTAAACTAAATATGCATTATTTGTTTTATTAGAAAATTAAATCTGATATGAGCTTACTGTTATAAGGAACGCAACATTGCCGACTACTGAGACCTAGATCTATCTATATTTAGATAAGAATGTGGAAAGCTATAGATTGATTAGAAAATGTCTCTATCAATCATATATTGAAATATTCCCTGTGATGTTTTGCATCACACGTTGAAGTGGTTGGATCTCTTAATTTAAACAAAAATGTTACAATAAGTTTATCCCCTAAAAAAACTGGTGTTACGAGATGAGTCAGTTAAAGTAATTAACTTCATAAAACCATTCAAACTGACAGCAAGTCCCAAATCAACTTATTATAATAGTCTGTAAAAGACCATTAGTTCTTGAATGGCATTGACATTTTATTGTTATGCAGATGTCTGAGCCTGCCAGAGATTTCATCCAGCTAATTTCATGTTTTACTTTCATTTCATCAGCCTCTGCTCGCTAAAATCTCTTTTTCTCCCTCATACATATCTTGATTTCTATGGGAGCCTCATATTTTTTCCTTTATTTTTTTTTTCTTAATTGAACTTTTATTTCCCTTTATCAATGGAAAAATTCCCATAATTTGTTTCAAGTTAGCTCTTTCATTTCTTTATGCCAGAGGACGGGGCAGTATTTAGGAAAATCATGGTCTTGATACAAAATTTAATGTGCCCAAGTTTTTGTTGGGAAATGAATCTCCCTGTATATGGACCAGGAACCGGCCACTTTTATTATAGAGGCTGGAAATAGATTTTTATTAAACATAGATCAACATTGCAAAACTAGTATTTCTTTGTGTCTTAAATAAGAATGCTATACTTGATCTGGGCATAGAAACACTTTTTCCGTTTACAGTTTGAAAGGGTTTAAAGGGGAGTGAATTCACTTCCCCCCCCCCCTTTTTTTTTTCTACTCATCAAAATAAATATATATTTTGTTTCATATTTTATTTTTTAAAACTCCTAGATGTTTCATCCTAGTTTTTTTGGGAGTCAGGGAAATTATTTTAAAACTAAGCAAATTCCCCATAATATGAAAATTACCCTCTGTAAGTTGGGGTAGTTTGTCATTTAATGGTTAACTATCATAGCCCTGAAGAGCAGGTGTGTTAAATTTGTTGCCAAGTTTGCAGCCCCTCCTGGATTGGAATCATTAACTACTCAAGGTACGCCATATTTTCGGTATGTAGATTATGTCTGCTGAAGTCTTTGCTAAGATTTTTTTTAAATAAATAAAAAAAGTCTGTAATTGTACATTTCTACATTTCACATCAGGCTCATCAATCATGTTTTCATGTAATCACACTTTTGTTGGTCCTCTCATTTGCCTAAAATGAACCCCCAGAAATGTTGACAACTACATAATTTAAAAATATGTAGAAATCTGAATAAAGACCATAACATTTTGCTTAGTACATCAATATTCTTTATATAAGAAAATGATGTACTGTTATGAGAAGATCTTAGCCTATTCCTTATGAGAGGAGGCAAAAGTTACCATAACTCTTTGAATAATTTTCTGCTCCCCACAGGTATGAAATGACTGTCTCATTAATATTTTTTTTCAGCCATTCTTCAGATGCTGAACTCAATATCTCATCTACATATATTTTACGAATTTTATCTAGCAAAATTATATATTACTATTATTCAGTTCTTTGCACTGATTTCTATATATTAAACCAATCTATTGCAGTAGTAAAAGGTTTCAAGGTAGTCTTGAGTGCCTTTTTGCATTGAAAGATGTATTAAACTATGTTTTTTTTTCTTTGAAAAATTCCATTTGGAGAAAATATTTTTTTAAAGCTCAAAGCAATTTTAAAAAAAAATCATTTCTATACTTGGTTTTGTTAGATGTGCACAAGTAACAAAATTTTTTTTTTAATGATTAATGGCAGACAAACTTTTAAATAAAATAATAAATCTAGATTTCCATGTGTTGATATTGGTGCATTCTTGAATTTATAAATACAAATGTATTTTACCTCTGTAATCTTTTTATTGATGTTACTAATCTTGCCTTTGTAATCATCATCCATTTTACTTGTATTATATTTTATAGTGCTCCATTTAAAGAAATACTTTTTTCCCTACTGGTTTTAGTTGGTATGATATCACTATGCTCTCTAGTTTCCATAACTTCCAAGGAAATATTTTTTTGACCCAGTCTAACTGCTTCTCATCAATTTTTCAGGAAGAGGAACGGAAGAAGAGAGAAGAACTGGAGAGAATCATGATAGAGAATAACAAGAAAATTGAAGAAGCTCAGCGTAAATTGGTAAGCATTGTTTACCTTGAAGGAATAAAAACTATTATAGCCTTAACAGATGACATAGAAGTATAGTTAAAATTTAAAAAAAAAACTATTTATTAATATACTTTTTGGGCACTTTAAAGAGTTTGAGTAATTAGTTATAGTGTGTTGTGGAATTTAAACAAAAGTAGGAAAAGTTGCCATCTATTAGTCTTATTATAAACTTTTAATATAAATTTAATCACTCATAAAATTGGAAAGGATTTTAATAAATGTGTTTATTCCTTTGGGTTCTGTTTGAAAACTTATCTACTGCCATTCATTTATTTGAGTTGTGCCGAAGAGTCATTTAATGCATAAAAAGCGAAAACCGCAAGTTATTATGAAGCCTATGTGTCTGTCTCTGTTTTGTAAATACTTCTTTTTAAGGAAAATATTTTCATATAATTTTTGAAATTAATGGAAGACTGATTTGAATTGGAAGAATTTTTATCATATATATATAATTCACCAGCAAAGGTCAAACACCACCACCACGCAGGCTATATATAGAGATGCCAGAGTGTGGTTAAATAATGAGTTCACTAGCACGCAAAATATAATTCCTGAAAATTACGCTAAATGATAAATATCTATTTTTAATAACGCAATTGCATTTGGTGCGTAATATTTTCTTTTCGGAAATGAAATCGTCTCAATTTAAGTATTCTGTAAAAAATATTCGGTTTAAAAGTGGTTGGGAAATCAGAATAGTTAATACAGTTCATGGGCGTGAAACAAAAAAAATTCCTAAATTTGCGTTACTTGAGTTCACGTTTTGTCAGTAACTTTATTAGATGGGAGATTCACGCATTGTTGTCGCCAATGTTTGGCAGGCTATATCTAGTATCATATATTCCAGTTGTAAAATTTAACTAAAAAGTATATATATTCAAGTAAAAGTGCCAACGCCATCTTTCCAGACAAAAAAATCTCTTGTGTTCAAACAGTGTATAGAGATATCTACAACAAAAAAAAGTTTACTATTAATACTAACTGTAAGTGGAAATTTTAACTTTTGTCCCTCTTTTTTTGTGTCTAGGCTGAAGAGCAATTGAAACTCGTGGAAGAGCAACGAAAGATGTTAGAAGAAAAGCAAAGGATGGAAGAAGAAGAAAAGAAACGATCAAAGAAGGATCAGGAGATTATACTAAATAAGAAAAATGCAAGACCTAAGCTGTCATTTTCATTAGGAGGAAAATAGCAGCAGTAAAGTACGTCTTTCTAGCAGACCCGGGAATTTCCTATACATTGATTCAATCGTCACTGTCTGGTGTGAGAAATGTTTGGTGCCTGCTTCATAGCTATTGGAACTTTGTGTGTTCAAGTGTGTCTCTTATCTGCTTTGGAGATTTCAACTTCACCATCTTCCAACCACCTGTGGCTAATGAAGTCCTTAAGGTTGATCTCTTTAAAGAATTCCTGGCAGAGATGTTTGTGCATAATTGACTTTTTAGTGAGAAGGTTTGTTTTGATACTGGTGTAGAGATGATACTGCATCTCACAGTATTGAAACTGTCATGTGCGATGAATGTTTTTAAAATTGAGATTGTGCTTGGCATTTAAGAAAACCTGTAATTTATTTGACCACATAAGGAATAACAAATGAATTTGAGGGTAGCACCGGCGTTGATAAATGTGGTGAGCTAGACTTCAAGCATAAAATGGAGCCTCCATTATTTGCAAATTTGTTCTGATATCTTTAACATCTGAAAAGTCAGATTGCTTGTACTGGATATTCAAGAGCAATACATACAGGATTTAGTTTGATCTAAAATTTAAAAAAAAATTTTTTTTAACTAGTAAGCCTGCAATATTTAATGAATAGGTTTTTATTGAACTAGTAATATAATCACAAAAGAGATATGATATTTGATATACTTTACAATCAATAGATCTGACTAATAGATGTCAAAGTTGTTTTTCCAAAAGACAAATTATACGCAATTCTATATTTTATGTGATCTCTAGCCCATCTATTTATTTCAACAGCCAGCCACGTTTTTAAGTCATTAAAATTCTCCTCTAGTTGCAGTAAAACATGTTACAGGTAAGTATATCACACTAGCGTAGATAAACAATGAGTCTCCAGCTAAGTATTTTTGTCTATGATTTGGACATAAATCATTGACACTGAGCCAATTTAAAGCCTGTTCCTCTCTAACTGTAAGTCGTCTACATTCTTGAGTTCATGTATCAACACATTGGTTTGTGTCTTTTTCAACATCAAGTTAATCCTGCATTCATCTAGCGGTGAAATGCCAGTCATGTGTCATTACATGAACAAATGTTTACCTAAAAAAAAAAAAACTGTTTCTCATGCAAATGCTGTGTACAACAACTAGAGTCCACAAAATTTTTATATCTCTTTCCTTTGTTTTTTTTTTTTTTTTTGGCTGTTGAGGAAGCATCTTTTAATATATTTTTTCAATTCTCAGCATTTGCTAAACAACTGAGTTACTTTCTGCCCTTTTTATTTTGACTCCATTTCTTCCAACATAAGTATTTGATGTGGTTTTGTTGATGTTGTTACTTTCCTTCACTTTACTCTGTTGTTTTTCTGGAAACATCTTGAGAGATATGTCATATTTCAGTCCCTTAGTGCTGACTTGTCTCATCATTTTTTATACATAGCCATGTAACATTCACAATTTTAGATGCTTAGTTGGACACTATGGCGGAGGCTGCGATCAAGCTATTCATAAGTAAATAAATAGCAGCAGGTGCATGAGACCTGTGGAAGGGTAACTCTTGTCATGCTTCCACGTTCTTTGATCTTATTATCTCCTTAGATACCAAACATGACAGAGTTGCATTCTTAGATTTTATGGATACATTTATAACACTTGGGGTAATGCCTCGTTCAGAAATAAGAGACATGATTTGTTTTTATGTAACTGTTGTTTTTTTTTTGTCTATGAAACGATGTGCATGAGCACTTTCTGAGTTGTATTTGTGTGTGTGTGGAAGATTTGTTTTTTTGTGCACTTTGTGTGGATGATGTTCATGGGAGAATTGAACGAAGTGCAAGATTAGGACAACAATCTTTTACACTAACCCTTCTGTAAAAGGCAATGCTCAACCTCATATAATTAGGAGCACTTATAAATTTAAAGAAAAAAATCAACAAAAAACACATTTTTTCATTCTTCATCTAAGTACACTACTGATTAGAAAATATATATTTTTTGAAAGTTAAAGGTTTTGTGATATGCTCCATGGGAAGACCATTGCCTAGTTAGTCTACAACAATGTAATCGACAGCTTGAGTTAAAGTCAGTGTGCAACAATGAGTGTGGAAGAAGAAAAGTGTCATTTTGTTACATGCCCTTATTATACTCTGTAGAGAAGCAGTATGCACTATTTGTTAATTCTCTAAACTAAGTTTAGTTTGTATATGTTCTTTGGATTTACGTGCATTTCCTCTATTAACATGATTTTTTAAATTGTAAATATTGCAAAATAAATTTTTATTCTCGAATTAGGTATTCACAATGTAGATATTTTCCCCATACTGCTCTTTTTTTTTACTCTGATCACTAGTATGAGATTAATTTCAAGAATATAATTTCCATAGATTATTTTTCTAATTCAGCTATTAGGCTAGTGTTAAATAACTATTAATGGCAATTAATGGTCATGAAAAATGTTGGTTGGTAGCGGACTTATCTATGATGGAAATGCACTGGATTCTGTTGTTTGTACCGTTGTTGCTTACTTTGTTATATCACAATTTCTAGGCATTTTAAGAACTTATTTGCAAATCGTATTTCTACTGCTATGTGCTGATGAAACATTTAAAGGTAAGTATCTTTCAGTGTGGTAGTTATGATCCATTTAGACTATTGAAAAGAGAGAAATTGTGATTAAAACAAAATTTTTGAAACAAACTGCTCTCTTAGTTTCTTTTCTCAATGTGAGATTTAAAAAAAAAAAAAAAAAAAAAAAAAAGAGCTTTGTCTACATTGGTAAAGTTTTTATTTGAAATTGTGCCAGCATCAGCAATACAACATGAAGTAAGTTTTGCCCTTGAAGAAATTGGTTGGCCTGGTAGCCATAGTGATCGTGCAAGCTTTAGCTCGGGATTTCTATGGAGAATTTCCAATTAAACCTTTCGTATTTATTTCCAATACAAGGTCATAAGGAATTGTGAAAAAGAAATGGACTAAGTAAATAACACTCTCTATGTTCATGAGAGATTTATAAAATATAATCCATCCAAGTTTGTTGAGAGAGTTAAATGAGTGTGGGGCATAATTCTTTGAAAACGCCTGACTTGTCATTGCGGTTGGGCCCTCACTGAATTATAACTCGTCTTTAAAAACATTAACATTTATTTCAATATACCCTCAATGTACTCCAGAAACCTTTTTTTTCACCTGCCCTTACTACACATGTGAATGTTGATATATCACTATCTACTCTCTAAAAAGTTCACTGCTAGTACTTAGTTTTATATGGAAGAGGTTTACTGAAAGTGAAACGTACACTACTTTCTCATAACTTGCTTTCATTCAGTTGTTGAAAACCCTCAAGCCTTAGGCTAAATTTTGAAACAATTTTAACCAGGTTAAGTCAGTATGGTACAATTCTGGTCAAATAAACTCACTTTTATGCTGAATTTATTTATACAGTTTCAAGACTTTTATTCTTATAAATGTATCAATAAAAAGAAATGTGATTGAAAAGTCATTCTTATGTTTTCTATGTTGGACTGAATCAGTGAGTGATTTCTTGTTAAAAAAAACTATACCTTAATGTTGTTATAGTTAAAATGTTTATTTACTCTATAATACTTTTCAGCAATCGGGGTGAATTAGTCAGCCTCATCTAGTACATTGAAAAGTTTCATTAGGTTCTCTTTCTTGACCAAAATTATTGCATGATGTACTTAACCCAACACAGGAATATGTTTTACTTTTATGTATGTGTTAATATGTGTTAATTTAACACACATAAGTACTGTAAGATGTCCCCAATACAGGTCAGGAACATATTTTAAATGTTAAGAACCTAAGCACACAGGATTACTGCAAATGCACCCAACACAGAAACATAATTTCATGTTTTAGTGAACACAATGTTTAAAAAACAGAGTTAAAATAGGGTTTCTTTATCACTGATAAAATTTTCGTAATTGTTTTGTACTAAGGGCAAGACTATCTTGCTGGCAGTTTCAAGGGAACAGTAATATTTACTGGGGCAAGACAGCACTATAAGTTATGTCAAACAAGCTAAATCAAATAGACACATTGTTTTACGTTGTCACATAACAATGCATTGTCTGGTGTTATTGGGAACAAGTTAAATACAGGTAGTTCAGTATCCTATAAAATTAGTAAAACAAAGTTTAAACCTGAAAATAGGAACGCAACAAAACAACGAACGTGTCGGCAGAAAGCCTTCGCCAGCGAACAAAACAACAGAAAAAAACGGTATGGAAATAAAATAAAAAATAGCACTTAGCTTAGAAGTAGTATCCGTGGGCAGATGCCACTTCTAAGGTAAGTGCTATTTTTTATTTCCATACCGTTTTTTTCTGTTGTTTTGTTCGCTGGTGGAGGCCTTCTGCCGACACGTTCGTTGTTTTGTTGCGTTCCTATTTTCAGGTTTAACCCTACTTTGTGTTAATAATTGTATATTGTGCTAACCTGACTGCAGTCTCTCCCCTTATTACCATAGTTCAGTATCGACCGGGGGGGGGGGGGGGAGGTGGATGGAGTGAGAGTACAATTTAAATTTGATTTTACAAAATTATTTTTGTAAATGAGATCAAATGTGGTAAACATCTCAAAGGGATATTTAAAAAAGCACATATTAATGTTAAGGAAATTTAACTAAACAGTGTCACATACACCCAAGAGGCCAAGAGGAAACAACCATAGGAGGAACAATTGACATATAATAATACATAATGACCATTCAAATAATGATGTAACAATTAAAGTGGTATTGACATAAATTCATCAAGCTATTTCTCAGCACATGTATGTGAGCAGTGGCCACTCTGTAAAAGCAGTGGCTAGACAAACTCCCCATAACAAACCTATATATTTGTTTTCTGAGTGTTTTGGGGGAAAGAAGAATATTCTCCCATATCCTTGTCACTTGGGATCCAATTTAAGAGGCCAAAATAATCTTCAAAAACAGGGCAGAGGAACCTGTAGAGACATCACTTTAGATGAGTCTGGAGGGCATTTCCTTCAAATGAATCTGGAGGGCATTAACTTCAGATGAAGCTGGAGGGAAATCACTTTTCATTCCAAAATGTACGTGACTAAAAGTTTACAATAGTGGCTGTAGTATCCCTCCTGTCCCCAGCTTTAGTGTAAATGGTTGCCAAAGTAATGTAAATAGTAGTTGTATTCAACTAGTATTCTTCAAACTACCCAGTGTTTTGGTATACACACTGCGTTAAATTATTTTGGTCCACGCTACTGAATATTCGCATTATCGATTGGCCAAGATTACATTACAGTAAATTACATACGCAAAATATTCAATGAAATTAAAGAAAGTAGCGTACACTACATGTACACCGAAAATGTCAATTTAAAAAAAAAAAATGTCATTAGTTATAGTTTAGTGGGTTATCCACACGGGAACGTCCATAAAGTACGTCACGCTATTTTTATGTTTGGACAATTTTGCCCCCCCCCCCTTTTTTTTTCCCCGCCCCCCTTAAAAAAAAGTATGTCACACTTTCGAACTAAAAATTGTTAAAAAATTATAAACTAATTCAAATTTATTTATTTACTCTAAAACACACTTGACTATTAAACTTATCAAAGTGAGTGACATCTGCTGTCAAATTGCATCCATCACAACAGAAAGTTCAACACTGTCAATTTCAGGTTTTAATTTCTATGATAAAAAAAAAATATATATATATAAATAAAATATTTTTGACTTCACACAAGATCTATAACTTCCGACTCCCTTGTGTCACACTTTCTTAGACACTCCCCACTTTTCCGTACTTTATGTAGGGCCCATATATGACGTCACAATCACGAGCTTAGTGAATAAAAAAAAAGGTGGGGGGGGGGGAGAAGTCACGAAGTTGTGATGAGGGTGAAGTTAAATTTGTTACAAATTTGTGGCGATGGAGAAAGAGGGTGTAAAAAAAATTGGCAAAGACAGCATGACGTCATATATGGGAAAATACAATCACGAGCTTAGTGAATAAAAAAAAAGGTGGGGGGGGGGGGAGAAGTCACGAATTTGTGATGAGGGTGAAGTTAAATTTGTTACAAATTTGTGGCGATGGAGAAAGGGGGTGTAAAAAAAATTGGCAAAGACAGCATGACGTCATATATGGGAAAAGCCCTATGGCTTCCGGTGCAAATACAAACGTACGTGTAAGCGAATTGAATTTATTTAGAAGCCTACGTCTACATGCAGATAGCCATTGCTTGGTTGAATGTTGACTTAGGGGCCTTCCAATGTTCCCTTTAAGTTTAAGCTGCGCGGCCGCGCAGCTATCTCACAGACGCCCCATTTGGTCAACAAAATAGTGGGGGGGGGGGGGCCTTCGGAAATGTTTGTCAGTTGTTGACAAGGGGGAGGGAGGGTTGTTTTTTTTTTTTAGATTAGTTGACGTGAACAGTCATGTTTTCTTTATTAAATTAAAATTGACTGGTTCTTACATTATTTTTTAAAAAAATTAATAATTTAAGAGTTTAAATAGTCCAAAATTTTTAGGTGTCATGTACAGTCAAGATAAATGATGTTGTTAGAGTAGGAATACGATATTTTGAGAATTATGGGAAAGTAAAGGGAGTAACAGTTATACAATCGTTGCTTGAACGGATTTGCAAAATCTGTAACATCTGTCTTGCATCACAAGTCATGTTGAAAGAGCATGTTCAACAGCACCGACATTGCCCTCTTCAGCATAAGAAATAATCACCTGCTACTCAACACACACACAAAAAAAAAAAGGATTCGATCAATGCGAGTAGCTGCCAGGAGACAGGAAGAGCTTATGGCAATTATTGCTCTCTCCGACAATGCTTCTATTTTAAGTAATGAAAAAGTACTGAAAGGTTAGATGAGGATGATGTTGACTTGTCTGGTATATCAGTTTTGCAAGATGAAAATGATAAATCAGCTACCTATAGACTAGGCCCATCAGGGGTTTCATTTCAGGGGGTTTTCGGGGGGGGGGGCAAAACAAAAAGTTGGTGGGCTTGTTAAGTTGTTTATTACTGGAGGCGTCACAGTACATAGCAATTTACATAAAACCAGCAAAATCAGGAGTGGGAAAATTCCCCCCCCCCTGCACTACCCAAATGATGCCCCTGATGCCCATTGTTACGATAGAGCAACACCTGGCTACTCCAAGGGAAGATAATAGTAGCTAGAAACTATACTATAATTGTCAGCTTTACTGAAAATAATCATACTTATACTTCCACAAACAATGATATTTAGTCCTTAACAACCTTTTAATTGATTTTGCATTATAAAATTTAAGTGTAAAAACTTGTTGATAAACAAGCTAAACATGTAATGATAATGAAATATTTCCCCCTAAAATTTTGTGTCATTAAAATAGATAAGGACAAAGTAAAATGTATTTATAAATTTATTTATATTATAATTCATTTTTGGGGGTGGGGTATAAAATGTTGACATATTTAAAGGGGGGGGGGGTACTAAAAGTTTGACAGTTGTGGACAAGGGGGCGGGG